CTTCCTTGGAAGTATATGAAAGCATTAGCAAAGAAAACTAGACCTGGACCTTGCACTTAGTGGATACGAATAGCTGTTTAGTTAGAATGTCCTCCGACCTCCATAACGATAGACGTTTAGTTAGGAATGACCTTAAATCCTTACTTTATGGGATAATGGAAGTAAGTGCCTTTTGAGTTCCAGATAGAAATGTAGGCATCAAAAACCAGTATCTGAAAGTACAGGTGAATAAATTCAACAACTGATTGCTGTCCTCGAGCATACTCAGGTGTCAACTGAATATATGCTTTCGTTCAGACATTTACCACACTTACTCCTTTACAGGCAGTTTTGCGGGGTGTGCTCAGGATAAACAGTTGATCACCTCCCCTCTCATTGTAGCTCTTCTGTTGGCAAAGATAGAGTTTCTGCAAAGAAACTTCATTTTTCAACATCCCTGGCAATTACCTCTAAACTGTAAATGTCAGAGCAAAAAAACCCCACAAATGCTTTTGAAGGAACAGTGAAATAATTGTTAAAAAAAAATCAATGCCCCTTAATGTGACTTTAGGACTAGGTTCACGTCTCTCCCAGGAAAGGGGACAGAGGTTATATCCACTTTAGAGCTAGAAGGAAAAGGGTGTAGAAACTTAAGTCCTCAAGCCTCACACTGTCCTTTGATGGATCTCTACCTTGTAGCTATCCAGGCCACCTAGTGGGGAGGAAAGCCACTTGTTGTGGTCTTGTGCCCCCATTCTTTGAAACTGACAGTGTTCTTTTTGGTCTCCTTTCCTCTGTGCCTCTCTCTCTAAGCCCATTTTCAATCTGTATTTTTAAGGTTTCTTTTGAAATTCAAGAGGAAAGCAACTCTTTTCTGTTATCATAAGTGAGACTGCAGTTTATGAAGTAGAGCTGCCAGGAGATAAGGAGCCATTCAATCACATGCAGATATCTTTCAGATGCTAAAAACAGTGCAAATAAAATACAGTGGAAGAAAGGGCGCTAAGGTTTTGTGCATGCCATGTTTGGGAGAGGGGGAGTTCTTGCGAAGATTAACATAAACACTGACACTCTTAAAATGCATTTTCACACCCCCACTCACGAGGAGAGATTGCAATTTAAATGGGGGTTAAGACATCTAGCGAACTCCAGGGCTCTGTAAAAGGAACCCTAAGGCTAAAGAGCTTATCTGAAATTTGAAAAAAAGAAGAAAAAAATGAAGCTTTCTGACATTCATCTTTTTCCCTTGTATTAGTCATAACTTGCTTTTCAGCTATATTTTAGGTTTTGAATGCCAACCTGACATCTGTTCAAGTCTGCCTGTAATTTATCAGGAAAGGAAAAGAAAGCAATTGCTCACTGGTTAGAGACGCAAAATTTCCCCCTTCTGGTTTTCCACAAAGTACGTATAGATGATACTTGGACATGAGGAATGTCATAATTTAATAATTTACTAATTCCAACTTCAGGTTGAGAAATTTATAAAGTGATTTTTTTTTTCAAATTAGAAGACAGTGGCTTTTGACCATGTGATTTCCAAAATCTCTAGAGCAGACTTTAGAGATCAAGCACATACTGTAAAAAACATACTATCTGTGCCTTTCTGTAAATTGAAAATTTTAACTTCTAATTAATTTTCCCATTGGTTTAAATTTTTTTATGTTAAGTTTACTTGTATTTGAATAGAAATAAAGTGACTGTGCTTATATCTCAGAGTCAAACTACATGCAAATTCAGCTGTCATTTTTTTATTTATAAACTGACTTTTAGAAAGAAATCTTTTGTGGATGCATAGCTGTCTATAGAGTCACCAGTGAATTAGATTAATGGGCATCTACAGTTGAGTTACCTACAGATCAATAATTGAGTCATTATAAAGTTG